TGCTTAGGGCGTTCCCCATGGCGGTAAAGCCGGTGTCCCACTGACAGTGGGCCCAGAGAAGGGTGCAGAGCCTAACTGGAGGTGTCAATATAGTTATAAGATTTAGTCAAGTCCCATTCAGTCCAGGCTTAGTCCCTGAGCCAGCACAAGGCAAGCCAGGGAGGCAGGAGGCAAAAGCCTGGAGTGGGCTGGGGGCTGGGGCTCCTAATGCCAAGGTTGAGAGTTAAGTCCCTGGCAAAAGGATTTTAAGTTTTTGATTTTACAGAAGGTCCAGGTTCTGCTCAGGTCCAGCTTAAATTTAACCTCGACTTGGTGACAACAGAGGAGGTGACGAACAAAGCAGACAATGAAGGGAAAGGGGTGATCAGGCCTTGCCCTCATAGCCTCTTCCCAAGGGTTATGAAAATAAGGGTCACACAAAGAACAGTTCCCATGCTGGGGCACACAACCCCAGCAGGACAGTTTACAGAATAAATCACATATCTCCTGTCCCCATAACTGACTCAGTAGGCGCCTGAAATATTGAACAGGTTCTTGACAGGAGACAAAACAAGGTTCCAGATTGTCAATCAAATGACTGACCCAGGGGCCAACCTGGAATCACTCCAGGTGCCCAAACAGATTAGCAGAAACCAGAACCACCAAGAGAGGGTACCTCACTTGGGGTCGCTGGGGTGATCAGGCCAGGAAACCAGAGGAGAGCTCCCAGGGGTGGAGCCTTTGACTCAGTTAAAGATTTCTTTGTTTCTCGGTTCAAAAGCTCAAAAGGAGCCCAAAGTGGCCACTGTAACTTTAAATTATCCTGGGTTATCTTGCCAGCTGTTTATAATTGTCTCCATTTTAGGGGAATTTTCCCAAGGTGGCAGTAACAAACAAGGTAATTTCTTTTTTTTTTAAAGATTTTATTTTTTTCCCCCCAAAGCCCCAGTGGATAGTTGTATGTTGTAGCTGCACATCCTTCTAGTTGCTGTATGCAAGGACTCGGCCCCAGGATGAACAGAGAAGTGGTGCCTCGATGCGCACCCGGGATCCGAACCCGGGCCACCAGCATCGCAGCGCGCACACTTAACCACCAAGCCACAGGGCCGGCCCAAACAAGGTAATTTCTAAAGAGAGTTTGTTACCATCACCGAGAAACTCAGTCCCCAAACAGCCAATTTTAAGCTATTTACCAACACAGACACAGACATAGACACAGAAAAATCAGACACCAGGAAACTAATTCCCAGATTTAGGGTATAAAGTCCTACAACTGTTCCCACTCCCAGTGCTTGCCCAGTCAGTCCTATTGGACCCCAGATGGCCCTGCTGTAAGTGGAAGGACCCCAGACAGGCCTACCATAAACAGAAGGACCCCAGACAGCCCTGCTGTAAATGGAAGGACCCCAGATGGAGGGGAAGGGAGTGCACGAGTGTCCTTGAGGCAACTTACTCTTTTCCAGATTGAGCCCTTTGACTCACCGGATGTAGCCATTTCTCTTCCTACCACAATCAGCATTAGGAGGCAGCCAGCATCGGTATGGGAAAGCAGGAACGGCAGTTCCCCAAGACAAAGAGAGCCTCAGCAGCAGCTAGGGACTTACCCAACAGGTTGCCCATCCGAGGTGGGCTGGCCACGAGCAGGACTTAATGTCCCATCTGGGGTGCCAAATTGTTACCACCAAAGGAGGGGCCTTCTGCCCACTGCAAGACATGCCAATAGTCAAGAGGCAAGGTGGTAGGAGAGAAAGGACTTTTTTATTACAGCTTGCTAGCAAGAGGGAAGATGGCCAACTCATGTCCAAAAGAACCATCTTAAGGAGGCATGAAATCTTACATCAGTTATATACGCTGGTGGGTTACAGGGCAGGGGGTTAGGAATGTTGACCCTCTGATGTTACAGACTGAGAGTGCCACACCAGATCTTTCAGTTTTCACTGATGGTGGCTATCAACATAGACTCTCTGTTCGGGAATCATCACATTCCCAAGGAACTCAAAAGAACAAAGTTATCATCTCATTGCAGCTGGGAGCTATAGGCACAAGCAGGGGTTGTAAAATCTACAGAGCAGTTAGATCTCCTGGAGGGTGCATATCCAGCTGGGTTAGTTTGTCAGAGGTCACTCAAAGTTACAATAGGGTTTCTTTTCTACAATACGGCTTCCTTATGTCAACTTTGCACCTTGAGCTCGGCTCTTTTCTAGGGGTCCTTGCCCTCAGGGGCTACATTATAGGGTAGGGAGACAGACCATAGACAGATAAACAAGCAGATAATGTGAGCCAGTGCTAGGAAGAAAGAGTGAGTGACGAACGAATGAAATGGAGATTGTCGATAGGAGGAAGTAGATAAAAGGCCAGAAGAGAGGGGTCTCATCCTTGCGCCATCCCCATCAACCTGCCCCAGCTGCAGCCCCCCATCAGCCTGGGAGGACAGGCCTCTTCAGAGACTGAGTTGGGGTGGCCTGTTGGCCTGACCTGATGTCAGCTGGAGAGAAAATATTCAGGGAGGATATTTTCCTAAGCTTCTGGGAGCAGTGGCCTTTTTTTTGCACATTGCACTGCCAGCCCTCTCTCTCCCACTTTCCACTTTCTTTTTCTCCATGGCACTTATCACCCTCTAACGTACTATATACTTTACTTATCTATTGTGTTTGCTTTTTGTCACCCCCACCCCCCCCAGAACACATGTTCCATGAGCACAGGGATTTTTACCTCTTTTTCTCGCTGTTACATCCCAGCACCTAGAACAGTGCCTGGCACACAGTAGGTGCTCAAAGAATATTATTCACTGTTTCCTTCATCTTTCCCAAGCACTCCGGAGAGCCTGCTCTGCGCCCGCACTGTGCTGTGGGCAGGGGAGGGAGTTATCAATAAGACACCGCCCCCATCGTAAAGGGGCTCATGGTCCCAGTGGGAATGGATGATTCCAGAGGCTTGGGTGCCCCCACCCACTTCCTCCCCAAAGTTCCCCAGCCCCTGCCTCCCTGCCCTCCATTCACTCCCTTGCTGTGAGCTTAGATGTCTTTCCCTGCAGCAATGAGGCACACACCTGTAGTCAAAGCTTCCTCCCGGCTCTGCCCAGAGGGATTGCAGCACGGGGGTGTGAGATCAGACAGTTCCCTAGCCTCTCTGAGAACTCAGTTTCTTCATCTGTAGGGTGGGGCTCCAACATCCACCTTGCAAGGGTTCCATTGAGAATTAGAATATATCTAAAGAGTCTAGCCACAGCAGACACGTAATATATGGCTCTTCGTGCTGGTATAGCTCCTGTGGGGTCTGGCTGTGTCTTCAAGCAGGCTGCTTCTTTTTTTGTTGTTGTTGTTTTTTGTGAGGAAGATCAGCCCTGAGCTAACATCCATGCCGATCCTCCTCTTTTTGCTGAGGAAGACTGGCCCTGAGCTAACACTTTATGTAGCACGCTGCCACAGCATGGCCTGACAAGCCGCGCGCTTGTGCGCGCCCGGGATCGGAACCTGGGCCACCAGCAGCGGAGCGCGCACACTTAACCGCTACGCCACGCCCGGGGCCGGCCCCTCAGGCAGGCTGCTTCTTATGCCAAGGGAGCGCTAGCACAGTGGGGCCATACTGGAGTTCCCAGCATCCTGATAGATGCTCAGCCTCAGGCGTTCTACATGGCAATAGTGGCTTTTACAAATCTGGGATTCAAACTGGCAACAATTTTGTAAAATCCACCATTTGGCGAGGGTGCATGGGTGCTGCTCTCACGCCTGGCTCATGAGGCACAGGCTGTGTTTGGGGGAGGTCTAGCAAGATGTATCAAAACAATTCCGCCCCTAGGAAGTCACTGAAACCCATGCAAAGAGGTATTTACCTGGATGTTCATGACAGCGCTATATATGATACCCAACACATCAAAAACAACCTCCTTGTCTAACACTGAGGGTTGGCTAGATAAAATACGGTATATTCTGCTGCTAAAAATGACTTTGTAGAAGAATATGGGAAGATGTTTACAAAATATTAAAAGAAGAAAGCAGGCTGTACATCAGTATTATAGTATGAATCTCTCTCATTAATGTTGCCTTTAGGTGGTGGATTACAGTTGGTTTTTTAGTTTCTTCTTTGTGCTTTTCTGTATTTTCCAAAACATCTACAATATACCAGTATTACCTTTTTTTAAGAAAAATTAGAAAATCAAATTTATTTTGACAAAATACAGACTAAATATAGATTTAACTAAAATTCTATGGTTAACTCATGTCAGATCACACATATTGACCAATAATTCTTGATCATAGCTCAATGAAGTCATGAAAAACTCTGTTCTTATGATCTTTTATATATATGCATATATTTTTTTTCGTAATACCCTTTTCTTTGGTAATAATTTTAGATTTACAGAAAAGTTGCAAAGACAATACACAGGGTTCCAGAGTTCCCGTACACCCCTGACCCAGTCTCCCCTACTGTTAACATCTCCCATAACCACGGTACATTTGTCACAGCTGAGAAACCAGCGTGGGGCCATCGCTATCAACTACACTTCAGACTTTATTTGGATTTCACCAGTTTTTCCATTAACATCCTCTTTCTGTTCCAGGATGCAGTCCAGGGTACCACATCACACTGAGTCACCTCTCTTCCGGCTTCTCTGGTCTGTGACAGTTTCTCAGACTTCCCTGGTGTTTCACGTACCCTGAATGAATTTCGTAATCAGAAAAAGAAAGGACTGATGATGATGATGATATACGTCTGGGAATTCCTTCGGTTTTATCTCAGTAGAAGGCAAACGATCCGGCTTTTTCTTTCTCTATTCCGGGGAACAAAAGGGGAAAGGCAGTGCTGCCCGGGATGGATGGGTCCACAGCGGTGGGGGCGCCTTGATCCCTGCCCACTTCCCTCTTGTGCCACGCTCCTGCCGCTGTCGCCCCGCTCCAACGCGGGGAGCTGAGGGGCCCTTGGGTGGAGGGCGAGCCCCGGGCCCGCGGGTTCCCTCTCCGGTTGGGCGTGCGCGCGGGCGGCAGCCGGGTCAGCTGTTCCGCAACCCCACGCGGCCGCCCCGCCCCTGCCCGGGTCTTATAAGCCTCTCCCGCCTCCGAGCGTCTGAACTTCCCGCTGCCGGCCCCGCCAGGCGCCCGCTGCAGCATGGCCTGGAACACCAATCTCCGCTGGCGGCTGCCTGTCACCTGCCTGCTCCTGCAGGTGGCCCTGGTGGTCCTCTTCGGCGTGTTCGTGCGCTACGACGCCGATGCCGACGCCCACTGGATCGACGATAGGCTGTCCCAGAACATGTCCAGCGACATGGACAACGAATTCTACTATCGCTACCCGAGTAAGTCCCGCCACCCTGTACACCCACCTGAGGCATATCCAAGCCTCTCCTCACCTGGCCGAGCGCCCCACCTGGCCGCACCTCCGCGGCCAGCTGCTGGGTAACAACTGGCGGGCGGGCGGGAACCCAGACAAGCAGATGCTGCCCACAGCCTCCTGGCCCATCCCACTTGGGCTCCCCACCAGGGGCACTCTTCAGTCTCTGGAGATCACGCTTGAGAAATGGCCATATGTGCACAAATACCTTTTCCCTGTGAAAAAGTAATAGAGAAACTCACCTGTGCAAGCTCAGTCCAGGTGCCATCAGAGGTCCCCAGCCTCCCTGGCAGAGGGCCCTCCTTGATGCCCTCACAACACCCGAGAGCCGTCTCCATCACTAGCCAGTGGATGACCCTGGTTCCTCGTCCAGCTATGCTTGTACTCTCCGAATAAGGGGGTAGGTCTGATGTCAAGGGCTGCAGGGCAGGGGAGAGCAGTGTGGGACCATGGCACCTACCCTCTCCTGGCTTGGAGAGGGAGAAAGAGCACCCCTGAATTCTCTGTGATCGTGGTGCTGTGGCCCGGAATCACCTGACCTCACTTCTCTCATGGCCTTTGACCAGGTGGGTGGCCTTAGGCAAATGTCAACCTCTCTGAAACTCACCTTTCCCATCTGCCGAATGGGGTTAATAATAGGACCTACCTCACAGGGGCAGGTGAGGCTGGCATCAGACAGTGCACTTAGGCTCTGGCACAGGGCTGGGCATGGAACCCTCACTTCATAGTGGAGCAATTACCAGAAGAGCACTAAACAGAGATGGCCCAGGACTCAGGCATTGGAAGGACTGGCCCAAGGTCACTTGGGTGGACCCACGCTCCAGACTCCTAGCCCAGGACTCTTTCCATGCCCTTGTGCTTTCCAGTTTCCCACGCTATATACCAGCAGCCAATGACAGTCGTTCTAGCTGTTGGTGCTAACGTAGTCGTGGACTGTTAGTTCTGGAAGGGACCCTAAAACTCATCTCCAAGAGCCACCAATACCAACTGGTGTTTCCTCCATGGCTTGTACACCCTCAGTAACAGGATTCTTTACCTCCAGAAATAGCATTTTACTTAGAGCCAAATAAATAACTGCACACGTTCAGGATGTGAGCCTGCATGAAAAAAGAAGGGGGGTTACAGGCTCTGTGGGAGCCAGCCATGTTAAGTGGCTGCCAAAAAGCTAGCACAATCACAGACTACATTAATAGAAATATGGTGCCTAGGAGAAGGGAGGTGACAGAAGAGGGATGTGTCCTGTGCTGGTGAGACCACAGCCTCTACTGGGCTCTACTCAGGGCCATGTTTTAAGAGATCTTGACAGCTGTGGCCTTGGAATTTAGACTCCAAATCCACCCTTCACATTGCACCTCTTCGTGTTCCTTGGTGGGAGACTGACCAGGCACGTGGTGAGGCAGGCAAACTGGAGACCCTCCTTTGTCTGTTCCACTCCTTCCCTCTGGTTCTTGCTTATCTCTCAGCCATGGAGCCAGCCCCTCAGTAAAGCATGAGGTCCTTGATGTGTCCAGGCAGTGGGAGGCCTCAAGACCCTATAAATAGGAGCTACAGAACCCCACCAGTGAGGGGTGCAGTCCTCACATCTCCCCAACTCCAACCCCCCTCCCTCCACACTCACCCACCCACCTTCCATGCTCCACCTTCATTTATTCACTCAACAACCACTTATCTATAGGGTGACATATAATTTATCAACCAAATGACACTTTTGAGAGTGAGGGGTGGGAGAGTGGGGCTAGCAGTAATTTGCCAGGACACGGGCATAAGCCATGACTGTCCCAGCAAACCAGGGCTTATGGCCCCTTTGGACAAACAAGTTGAATATCCTGGGTCTCTGGCCCCAAGGGGCTCCCAGACTCATGGAGAGCAGAGAGGTACACCCCGACACCCCGGGCCTCAGGGCAGTCAAGTGCTCTGGGCAGAAGGGATCTGTGACGCTTCCTGGAAAGTAGTGGGATGGTGAGGAGGGGAGAAGCAGTGCAGTGAGGAGCCCACCGAAGGAGCTTGCAGGGAGGTGGGCCGGGTGGCTCAGTGGGGCCCGAGGGTAGGGTTTGTGAAAGGGATAGGAGGAGGGGTAGTCGGGGGGGATGACAGCCCCAGCCATCAAGGAGGGCCTTGAGTTTCTCCTGCCATTTCTCCTGCGAGTGCTGGGCTCTTGGTCATCTGAGCAGGAGGTGACAGAGAGGAGAGGAGGGTAGGGAGAGAACCTTAGCCTTGAGATTCTTTGGCAAGAACAGGAAGTAGTGGCAGCCACTCAGGCCGAATATGTGTTCTCTCCTTTAACCACCTCCAGCACCCAGTGAGGAAGGCACTGTTATGACCCATTCTACAGACGAGGGAACTAAGGCCAGAGAGGGGGAGTGTCTTGCAAAGGTCACTCAGCTGGGAAACCAGAGAGCCAGGCTGGGGGCCCTGGGGGTCTGAGCCCTCACTCCTGGACCACTCTCCTCCCTCTAGGCTCCCCTCTCCCCTTGCCCCGCCCCACCCTCTTGAGGCCCACTTGGTCATGGTGGGTGTGGTTGGGAGTAAGACAGCACGCACGTGGGCAGCAAGGCCGTTCTTGGGGGTGGGGTGAGGGCAGGCCCTTGTGATACCCTCTGGGTTCTTGGCTCCAGGCTGTCAACACCTGTGCGGGCCTCAGTCCTGCCCAGGAGATTAGTGGAGCCTGCTGAGCATCTCTGGTTTCCAGAGGAGTCCGGCTTCAGTTGGCTCAGGCCAGGGCTCAGGAGCATGGGCCCCTTGGCAGGCAGCAGGCACAGAGCTGGCTGGGGACCACCCAGGCAGTGCCTGCAAGGGCCTGTGCTGCAGGCATTGGCTGCTGAACTCGAAGTTTCCTCATGGGCTGGTGCTCCGGGGCCTGAGTAGCCATGGGCACTGCCTAGAGGAGGTGGCCCCAGGAGGAGCTGGCAGAGCTGGGGCCCCTAAAGATTCTTGGGCAGACAAGGGAGGGCAGGAGAGGGCCACATTTCCAGGAGATGACCCAGGGCAGAGGATGCCATAGTTTCAAACACCTGAAGGACTGTTTCATGAAGCCAAGGTAGCCAGGCTCGCCCTGCGCTCCTGGGGACCTGAACCTCAGCTTCAGCTCCGTTTAGTAAAGGAGGAGCTTTCCCAATAAGCAGAGAGCAGCGTAACCCGGTGGTTGACTTTGGAATTAAACAGATCTGGGTCCATCCCTAAATGGAGTGAGCTATCTCCCTCACTGCTCTGAGCCTCAGTATGCTCATGTGTCAAGTGGGAATGTCATTGAATGCACAGGATCTCCAGGAAGACTGAAGATGGCAGGTGGCTGGTGGGGCACATCTCATGGCATGAAGGGAGAGGACAATAAATGTTGGTATCAAGCTTCCTCAGAAGGGAGTGAGTGCTCTGTCGCTGAAGGTGTTTAAGTGGAGGCTCAGCATCCTTTTAGAGATGTGGCCGAGGAGCGTCTCCCTGAATATTAGTTGGAACTATTATAGCATTTAAAACACTTTGTGCTTGCCCCACTCATACAGTGCCTTTTGCATACATGTATGGTGTCAGGCAGGGGACCCGTTTGTTTCCATCTAACAGTGCAGGAAGGGAGGTTAGATTTGCTTAACACTCTCAGCCAGTCAGTGGCACAGGCAGGGACAAGGCCAAGCCCTCCCACCCCACAGCTCACTGCTTCCCTGGGCCTCTGTGGCATTGCCTGGCCTTCTCCCCAAGTTTTGCAGTGATGGTGTGGGTCTGTGGTCGGCTCTGAGGTGTGGGGGAGGCGGGGCACAGAGCCTTGGGGAATTGGGGGACTGGCCAGTAGGCCTCAAAGAAAACAGTTTACATTGGACTGGCCTGTCGAGGATGAGAAGGGGGCCGTACCCAGGCCACTGCAGGGCACCCCTCTCTCTGTGCTAATGCAGCAGAGGGGAGGAAGCTGCTGTGGCCCATTGGCGTGGGAAACCTTGTCCTTAGATTTCCGAGATTTCGGAAACTCAGCTTCAGTGGGGACCCATCCTGGGAGGGAAGAGGGAGCTAGGAGAGGGTAGGGAGTGGCGGTGGGGAGAGGGGAGTGAGAACAGCTGTGAACTGGTGCCCCCTTGTGGAAGCTTTCATGGCTGGAAGCCAGCATGGCAGCTCCACCCCAGGGACCTCCAGGTTGAGGGAGCAGGTTCTGGGATGAGCTGCTTGAGTCACCCCAGGCCTGGGAGAGAACCGGGGAGGCGGGAAGTGTCTCACCAGCTTCCACTGGCCCTTTGCAAGTCGCCAACCCAATGCAAAGCACCTGGTCAGCCTTGAAAAAGAAAAAGAGAAATAGTAGCCAATATGACTGAGCAATTACAAAGAGCCAGGCCTAAGCCCAGGGCATTGGCTGGATCACCTCATTAAATGTGCACCACATATCTCTGAGGTGAGCACTGTTATAATCCCCCATTTTATAGAAAAAGAAACTGCAGATCAGAGAGGTTATGTCCTTGCTGAAGGTCTTACAGTCTGGACCTTCAAACCATTACTATTAAAAGCATTTTAGGTAGCACCAAACTATGAAACATAAATTAATAAACTGGTATGTTTGGATCCTAAATTAGGACCAGTTTGGGAGATAAAGAGACAAGGAGCAAGAGAATGAACGGGGAGGTGCCCACAGGGAGGGAGGTTGGCATCTGTGTGCCTAAAGGAGGGGAAGAGGAAAGAGACACCCCAGAGAGAGTCCAAGAGAGAGATAAGACACCCACAGAGGCAGGGAGAAGGACAGAACTTGCGAGAGGAGGGAAGGCAGGGAGGAGGCCGTGGGAGGGGGAGGGCTCCCTGCTCCTGTTCTCAGGCCACAGGGAGAATGAAGGCAGCCCTGAAACTGCAAATACCACTCAGGAGGGCCCCGCTGTCCTCTTCAGCTCCGCCCCTGCCTGCATGGTTCCTCCACCAGCTGACACCCTTCTCCTTGAGAGGCCCCCACCTTCTGTGGTGCTGCCTTTTCCCAGAGGTTCCTCCCACCTCCCTGGTGGGAAGACAGCGCCTTCCCTGTCTGCTCGCTCCACAGCACACTAGTCCTCCGCTGCTGTTTCCCGCTCATCATGCCCACATTCTGACTCACAGCTCTATTTGCAGGCCTGCCCAATCTCAGACCCCAGCTGCAGCCCGCACAGCCAGGCCCCATTCCTCCCACACTGCCCTGCCTGGCCCTTACCACCCCCTGCCCCATGGTCATATGGTCATCTCAAACCCCCCCAGCCAGCACTAGGCCCAGCACGTCCCTCCCACCTGGCAACCTCTTCCTACTTCTCTGTGTTTATCAACAGCCCTGCTGTCCTGCCAACTCCCCTCCCTGCTTCTGGGATTGTAGTCTGAATATGTCGCCTCCCTCTCTTTTGCACTTCTCCTCCAGTCTGTCACCCATCACTTCTTCCCAATAATAACCATAATACCATATACGGTGCTTCACATACATTAGCTCAATTTCCCCTACAGCAGCGGGAAACATGATAAACCATGAAACACAGTAATACATGAAATGAGCTGCACACATTGTGACACCTAGGCCGAGCTGCTGTTTGCTTGTCTGTCACACAGGTCTCCACCAGACAGAAGCTCAAAGCTCAGAGCACCATGCTGGGTCGAGACCCACAGCTCTCCTGCATCAGCTCATATGCCCCCCACCCCGACCCTGCAGGGTGCCAGCCTCCCAAGCCTCCTCCAGGTGGCTGCTAGCCAAGGGGTCTGTGGCTGTGGCCTGGACTTCAGGGAAGCCTGCAGGGGAGACAGATGAGGGCAGACAGGAGCAGGCAAGGCCAGGGCTGCTGTAGCATGAGCATCGCTGTCCCCCCAGCCAGGCTGCAGTGGGCACCAGGGCCTATCTACCCTGTGTTGCACTGGAGAGGGGCTGCAGCCTCACCTGACTGTGCAATCCCACCTGGGGCTCCTCGCCTGCTGCTCAGCTGGCATACCTGGGTGCTGCTGAGATAACGGTAATCATTCCTTCATTCATGGGTATTCATTGAGAGTCTCCCTGGGCACTCTTGCAGGTGCCGGGGAATACCAGAGTGAACAAAACAGGCATGGCCTTGCCTTCTTGGAGCTTTGTGGGCCAATGAGCGGGACAGACAAGCCTGACCGCAAATTGTAACAAGAACTAGAAAAGAAAAGAAGAGGGTGCTGTGAGGGAGAGGATCTGCTTCACATTGGTCAGGAAGGCCTCTGAGATGAGGTGACTTTCTGCTGAGATCTGCAGGAAGAGAGGTTGCTGGCCATTCTGTGGGGACAGCATCCACAGGGAAGGTCACAGGCAAAGACCCTGGAGTGGGACTGAAGGACACCAGGGAGGCTGGTGCCCCTGGAGCACAGGAGGGAGAGTGGGAACGAGGAAAGTAAGACCAGGAGGCAGGTGGGCGGAGCCAGGCCAGGACTGGCAGGGCCTGCCGGTCCCTTTTTTTTTTTTTTTTGAGGAAGATCAGTCCTGTGCTAACATCTGCCAATCCTCCTCTTTTTTTTCGCTGAGGAAGACTGGCCCTGGGCTAACATACGTGCCCATCTTCCTCCACTTTATATGGGATGCCGCCACAGCATGGCTTGCCAAGCAGTGCGTTGGTGCGCACCGGGATCCGAACCAGCGAACCCCGGACCGCCACAGCGGAGCACATGCACTTAATCGCTTGCGCCACCAGGCCGGCCCCTCCCTTTTTTTTTTTTACTTTTTATTTGGAAATAATTTCAAATTCACAAAAAGTTGCTACAACAAAAATAGTACAAAGAGCATTATATTCTCTTTAACTCTGATTCAGCTATTTGCTCGCTCCCTCTCTCTCTCTGCACATAGCCACAAACATACACACTTTTTTTTTTCCTGAACCATTTGAGTGTTGGTTATAGATATCATGGTTCTGCACCCTTAATTACTTTGGTATATTTCATAAGACTAAAGGTATTCTGTTCCATAACCACAGTGATCAATTTCACAAATTTACATTGTACAATACTTTAATAGACTGTTTCTATTTAATTTTGTCAATTGACCCAATAACAACCTTTATAGCCCTCCTCACACCACCTCGCCCCTCAGGCAAATCCAGGGTCCAGTCTAGAAGTAGGTATTGAACTTAGCTGACATGTCTCTTTAGCCTCTTTTAACCTGGAACATTTCTGCAGCCTTTCTTTGTCTTTTATGACATTGGTATTTTTCAGGAATCCAGCCTTACCCCTTTCTGGTAGCATCTTCCTCCTTTTGTGTCTGTCTCATGTTTCCTTGTGATTAAATTAGAAGGATGCATTCTCGGCCAGAATACCATATGTGTGATAAGTCTTTTTCAGGGTTTCGCATCTAGAGATGCGAGATGTCCATCTGTCCCTCATTGGTGGTGTTGATTTTGATCACCCAGCCAAGATGTTGCCCAATTTCTCCAATGTGTAATTATTGGAGTTTTTTTTCCTCCCTTGCAACTGATAAGCAGTGTGTGGGGACTCTTTAAGACAAGGCAAATGTCCTGCTCTTCATCAAAATTTTCTGCTGGATTTAGCACCCACTGATGGAATCTTTACTGTGAAAATGATGATTTTCCAACTTTAGCACTCATTTGACAATTAAGTCGGACCCTCAGCATTGTGTTGTAAGCAAGAGCCCTCCTACTATCTCATTTATTTAGTTACCTATTCTGAGTTGCTCTTCTCTAATGGTTTTAATTCATTATAGGACATAATTATTTTGGTGCTCAACTTGTCCCTGACTTAGCCAGTGGGAGCCCTTCCAACTGGCCCTTGTGTCCTGTGACACCTGCAGTTCCTTTTAGTGTCTTATACTTTTGTGACTCTCTTTGCTTCTCAAAGCTCTTTGCCTTCTGTTATTTTCTGGGAATTTAGAACCATGCGATGTTAGCACTGGGAGGACAGTTAAGATCATTCTAATCCATTCCTTTAGTTTTATCGAAAAACTGAGGCTCTGAGAGGGGAAGTGGCCTGTCAAGGCCACACAGTGAGAAGAGCTGGGTCAGAACTCAGAATTAGACTATGCCTGAGTAACAATAAATAATAATAAAGTAACAATAAATAATGACACGCCCATTTTGAGCACCTATTATGGGATGGACACTGTGCTAGGTGCTTTACATACTCATCTGCATTTCATCTCTGCAACACTTGTAAGTAAGTGTTATGGAAGAAGGTGCTAAGATCCAAGTATGTTAAATGACTTTCCAGAGTCATCTACCCAGCAGATGGAGGAACTGGGGTACAAATTCACCTCTCAGTGATGCTGGAAAGTGTACTTGCTGAGAGTGGGGGTGGGATGTGGAGATGTTCCTGGAGGTGATCATCTGATGTGCCTGGCCAGTCAAGGGACTCCTGGGCTAGATGAGACTAACTTCTCCATCATAAAAGAATGGAGTTGCGGGGACAAGGCCCCAGATGGTCTGGGCTCTCGACCCTAGACCCCGAGTGTAATCCACAGCCCAGCTCCAATTTCAAGGGCCCAGCTGCCCACCCCTACCCCAGGTGAGGGTGGAGAGCGAGAGCGGTCGTCTCCCAAAGGGAACGATCAGGCATTTCTTGGCATTTAACTCAGTGGTCTAAATGGTCTAAAGTGGGGGCTCATCTCGGTTTCCCCAGCCCAGCCCCCTCCAGAGGCTCTTATGACAAGCTGGGGGTAGAGGCTGTTCTACCCGCAGCGGAGCTATTCATTACTGCGCCTAGCCCCAGGATCCAGATGCGGAGGAGGGGGTCGGGGCTTGGGGGGCTGCGCGGGCCTGCCAGTGGTGGGGAAGACACAGGCGCTGCCCCCGGCCGCCCTGGCCCAGACCCAGGGCTACGGTGGTCCGTCGCTAAGCCGCCGAGACCACCGGCTGCGCTCTCCCCACAGGCTTCCAAGATGTGCACGTGATGATCTTCGTGGGCTTCGGCTTCCTGATGACCTTCCTGCAGCGCTATGGCTTCAGCGCCGTGGGCTTCAACTTTCTGCTGGCGGCGTTCGGCATCCAGTGGGCGCTGCTCATGCAGGGCTGGTTCCACCACTACGACCAAGGCTACATTTTCATAGGCGTGGAGAAGTGAGCGCGGCGCAGGCCGGGGGCGGGGCGCCGAGGGGCGGGGCCCGGCGGGTGACCGGGCGGGGACCCGGGGCTGGGTGCGCTGGGCGGGACCCGGGCGCTTGGGACTGTAGCCTGCGACTCAGCCTCCAAGCAGGGTATTCGGGGTCTGCAACAAACACCACACACACACACACACACACAGGCACTGCTTCCTGATCAGCGAGTCTCCAGGGTGGAAGTTCTGATGGTGTCCAGGTGCTGTAGGAGGGTCTCCCTCCCCCTCAGAAGAGGCTGTAGGGACGCGAGGGCAGGCTTCTCTCCAGGGGCTGGGCCTGGGCCCTCCACCCTGACACATCAGATTGCCCTGAGAGACCGCAGCCCCCGGGGCCCGGGGTGGGCGAGGGGAGGAGAGCGGGGCGCCCGAGCCAGCCTCAGAAAGTTCCTTGTGGAGGGGACACTGAATGGGGAATCCAGTCAAAGGGAGGTGCTTCTCCCTGCCTGGCCCCACCCAAGGAGCAGGCATAGGAGGAAGGGGTGAGGCAGGTGTGGGTGTGGAGCCTTAGGGCTGGAGCCCCTCCCTGCTGCAGCCTCCAAGGGGGCCCCCTACCCCTCTCTCTTCTTACCTCCATCCTTCTTATCACTCTCCTCTGTGACAACCTTTTGGTCCAATGAATACCAGCACCCCCTCCCATCAGGTAACCCAGCCCATCCCTCTGTCTGACGAGGTCTCGAGCCTCAGCGTGCCCCTCCCCCAACACAACCACCAGGTTTTAAAATCAATTCACCCAAAGCCAACTTGCCAAAAACCAACCTGCCAAGCAGTCACCTCACTGAATGACTCCTTTATCACACTCTCTAGGCCATGCCAACTTATGAAACCTGTACCGGTTCATGTTGCATGGGACAGAATCAACAGCCTTTGGGAGAATTTTTCCCAGTTTAGTCAAGTTTTGGTTTATTGGAGGTTCTTCTGTAAGTCCAGTTTAGACTGTCTTCAATTTCAGTAGACATATGACAAGTTTGGCTAAAGAAAAAAAATTTTTTTAATTTGAGAAAGTTGTCACTGGTGTGTGAAAATGAATGTTCATTAGCCCGCTTGAAAACCAAGTCCACAGAAAGAGTTTAGAGGCAAATTGGTATAAAACCATGTTTAAAGTGTAAATCCCTGCTGTTACACATAGGGCACCAACCAGGTGTCATAGGCCAGGTGTCTGAAATTTAAAACATATGCCAAATATTTGCAAAATATTCATGCACTCAAGCCAGTTAATGAATTATGAGAAACAGGAGAGAGAGTTGACTAGATAGAAAATGAGTTGGAACCAATAAATCAGTCTTTTTGTATGTAAAATCCTTGACATGCATATCACCCTGCAGTTCAAAATACACATGAAATTCTCATTCCCGTAGCCATAGACCCCAAGCATGAAAACACCTGTAATGTATTTAATTGGCCACTGCAGCAAGATAGCTCTAAGGCTAAATGAAAAACAAAAGTATACAACTTTTAAAAATCCTCAGAAGGAATTATTGTAAACTTTGTGAGTTAACAAGTTTTTGGTGAACCAGACATTTAGCAAGTTGGTCTCTTGACAAATTGAGTTTTGGCAAATTGGCTTTCGGGGACTTGATTTTGAGCAACTGAGCTGAAGTCGATTTCTGGTGCTCAGGGCTGAGATGAGCATGTCATCCCCAGACCTGACTTTGTGGGCCCTCCTCCTGGCTTCCATCCTGTCCCTGATGAAGAGTCCTCCAGATGCCACCTGCCACTCTAGGGTGGTGCCCTCTGCAGGCCCTCCCAAGATGTGGCGTCCAGATCTCCTTCTCCCAGGTGCTGATGGCCCAAGGTGTGGGCGCTTCTGCTCTCTCGCACTCCTTCCTAATGATCACCTCTGTCAGATGGGTTTGCTGGCTGTAGCTGTGGGACCTTGGGCAAAGAACTCGGCCTCTCTGAGCCTCCACTTCCCCTCTATAGGATGTGGCTAATAACAGTACCTGTCCCATAGGGTTCAGGTGTGGTACAGGAGGGCATTGCAGTGCTGAGCAGGTATTTCAGTGCCTGGCACTTCATAACCAACATCATTCGTGCAGCCAGGTCCTGGCTAGGCTCTGGGGACACAGCAGTGAACGAGGCTCCTGGTGAAGCAGACGTTCCAGTGCATGTCCTGTCTTGGGAGGGATCCTGTCAATCAGTGCCCTGCCCCCATTCCACACACTGGCCCTACAATCAGCTCGCTTCTTACTTCTCACCTCCTGATTCACACACACACACACACACACACATACACACCTGAGCATTGGAGAGGGGGGCTCCTCTGGATCCTCTAGATGTGACTGCCTTGAGGAAGTAGCCCCTACTGGCCCTACACTGACCCCAGTGAACAACTCTCCTGACTCAGAGAGCCACACTGAGGGTCTGCCCTGGAACCAGGGCAGCTTTGTTGCTGGCAGGGCACAAGGAAGCCTGGGTTAGGCAAAGTGGACACATGGATGCAACCAGGGTCTGCTTCGTCCACCCCACGTCCACCTGGCTGGCTGCCTCTCCATCAGCCCTCTGCTGGCTGGCTGGGCTTTCAGAGTCCAGACTTAAGGAGGGCCTATGTGTTCCCCTGCCTCCATTCTCTCTATTGGCCTTCCTGCCCCCTCCCTCCACCAAGCCTGCAGTTCCCTACCTCCTGCAGGAAGGCCTCTGTCTCCTCCAGGACACAGATTCTATCTCCCAGGTAAGATAAGAAGAGGTCACGATAGCTCAAACCTGAACAAGGCCCAGGAGAGTGTGTGTAGAGGGAGAGATAAGGGTCTGGAGGCAGAGACCACATCTGGCTGGAGGAATCCCGGAAGGCTTCCTGAAAGAGGAGGCAGTGCGAGCCGGTTCTGGAAGGCTAGGTAGAAGATAGAGGGCCAGGGTAAGGCCCTAAATATGCAGCATGTTCAACAACAGCAGCCAGACTACTTGGGTGCCTTGAGCATAAGCTGCCCATAAGGAGGGGGGTTTGGGATGGGGGCTGCAAAGGCAGGGTGTGGCATCCAGTAGGTGCCACTGCTGTGCTGGACACTTCATATGTTCTTTCTTGTAATTCTTAGAGCAGCTCTAAGATGTTATGTGCCCACTACCACAGAGGGTGAAAGTGAGGCTCAGAGAGGTTAAGCCACAAGCTCAAACCCACAGATGACCGAAGTCCAGATTCAAACCCAGGGCTTGGATTGCCATTTCTTGCCGTTGCCTCAGCCCCTCCCCTGACCCGTCTCCCCCACAGCCTCATCAATGCTGACTTCTGTGTGGGCTCCGTCTGTGTGGCCTTTGGGGCAGTTCTGGGCAAAGTCAGCCCCATCCAGCTGCTCATCATGACTCTCTTCCAAGTGACCCTCTTCTCGGTGAATGAGTTCATTCTCCTCAGCCTGCTGGAGGTGAGCAGGGCACAGGATGGGGATGGAGATGGAGGGGACACGTGGGGTGACAGCAGGGGACAGAGAAAGAGAGGACTGGGGAGACATGCCAGCTGGATTCAATTCAGCCTTGGCAAGTCACTTGACCTTCTGAACTTCAGTTTCCTCATCTCTAAAGTGAGAGTAATGACATTTATTGTGCATGGGTGATAGTCCACCTAGCAAATCAGTCCAGCAACTGAGGACAGAGCAGGGGTTCCTCATATGTTGCTTTTCTCCCCCCTTTCTCTTTCCTGCACATACTCTTGCACACACACCACATTCCCAGATTGCTCTGTCAAGAAAAGGACTCAGTGTATTGAGGGGGTACATATGTAAGGAAGGATCCCAAGGTGGCCATGTTTAGCTGCACAGGTTGTGCACTGCACAGTGGTGCCATTCACATGGACCATGGCAGGAATGATGCCCCCTGGGGTTGGCAAATTCAGTGGCCCAGGTAAGGGGCACCTTAGACTGTAGCTCAGAAACCTCTTTGGTGCCTTTGCAGGAGTAGGGGTCATTCAGGGACCCCACCCATTTCTTAGCCCCCAACTCCTCTACATTTGGATTCTGCCTGGAACCTCCCCCCAGGGTTTTTTTCAGGCCACCCTAAATCCAATCATTCATTTTGTCATTTTTTTCAGCCACCAGACTAGTCCAAGCCCCCATGTCTCCTCCTGGTTCATCTCCCCAGCTTCATCCTTGCCCCAGTCACCACCTCAGGCCAATCTCCACCAGCAGCCATGGTGATCTGTTAATAACGCATATAACACCATTCCCCTGATTAAAACCCTCCAGTGGTGTTTGTTTGTTTTTTTTAATTTCATTTAGAATAAAACCCACACTTGTTACAAGGCCCTACATGTTCTGGCCCCAGCCTTTCTCTCCAAGCTTTTCATCTACTCTCTCCCCATCTTTCTGTGCTTTGGCCATACCCTGCTGTCTGCTCCTCAAACACACCAAGCTCAGCCCTGACCTCAGGGCCTTTGCACTTGCTGTTCGCTTTGCTGGAGTGCTCATCCTTCAGTCCTTTTCACTATTGAGGTCTCAGCTGGCATACTGCCTCTTCAGAGAGGCCCTCCCAGATTCCCCTACCCAGTGTTTCTCTCTCCTTACTCCCTGCCAGTCACTGTCTCTCACATTGCCTTGGTTTATTTTCTTCACAGCATTTATCTTTATCTGATAAGGGCGGGAAACTTTATCTGTCTAGACTATCTCTATCTCCAGCACCTAGCCCAATGCATAATCAGTGCTTCATAATATTTGTCAAGTAATGAATTTTGGAGTCTAACTCCATGTCACGCAGCACTCCAGGTGCTTGGTTGCAGAGGTGAGCAGGACTCTCCTTTAGACTGCAAGGAGCTCGCAATCTAGTGAGGGAGCCAGGAAGTCAATAGACAGTGACCGTGCGGTATGATAAGGGGTGAGCTCAAGGGCGAGGTGGCCTAGAGGAGGGCGCCTGAACCAGCATGGCAGGTCAGGGGGGCTTCCTGGAAGAAGAGGTGTCAAAGCTGGAAGTCAGGTTGGAGATAACCAGGTGAAGGAGTGAGCAAGGGCAGAGGGAACAGCAAGGGCAGAGGGAACAGCAAGGGCAGAGGGAACAGCAAGGGCAGAGGCCTGGGGCGAGACCCACAGGGGGAGGTCTCCAGTGGCTTGGTCTGGCTGGAGGGGCTGGTGCTGAGAGGGGAGTGTGGAGGGGTAACGAGGGGTGCGGGAGGGGCATGGATCCTCGAGACTCCTGGAGACTGTGTCAGAGTCTCCACCTTATCAGGAGGTCAGTGGGGAGCTGAGGAAAGGTTTAGGCAGGGCAGTGGCATGGTCAGACACATGTGATGGGAATGCCGCTTTGGCTGTGGGGGAACAGTTGGAGGCTGGGAGCCCAGTGAAGAGGCTGTCCTAGTCGCCCCGGCGAGCGATGATGGGTCTGGGACTGCGTTAGTGCAAAGAGAAGAAAGTGGATGATTCAAGAGATACAAAGAAGGTGAATAAACAGGCCTTGCAGACTGGCTGGGTGGGAGATGTGGGAGAGAAAGAAGCTAGGCTAGGTGAGGGGCAGGCACTGGGGCCAATGGATGTGAGCTGGAATAGGCTGAGAAGGTAGCATCTGGGGTGTCAGTTAAGAGGCAGGGAAGGCTCCTTTGACCCTCGAATATCCTCCCCGATCTGCTACAGAAATTCTTGTAATGCTTGACAGTCTTTCGGCCTCTCTTAGAGCCAAGTTTAAACATGACCATCAATGCTGACACATGAGGAGCACTTGCCTTTGGCTGGGCCCTGTTCTGAATGCTTACATGGGTTATCTAATTTAATCCTCATCTCTGAGATAGGCACAATTATTACCGCCATTTGACAGATGAGAAAGCTGAGACTCAGAGACGTTAAGGGGCTCACCCAAGGTCACACAGCTAGTAGAGGCACCCACTAGGCTGGGAGTCAGGAAACCCAGCTCTGTCAACAACTGGACGACTAGCTCTATGACCTTGGACAACGCACTTAACCTCTCTGGTTGGGTTTCCCCATCTAAAGTGAAGGAGCGGGTCTATGATTCTGATTGGAATTTCCTCTGAGATTGGTTCTGAATGGGGAGGAAGAGGAGGCTGAAGAGAGGGGAGGTGCTGGCAGGGGAGGAAGGCTCCATCCGTCAAGCTCCTGTTGAGTGCCGGGCACTTGCCAGGTGTTGACACAAGTTGTCTAGTTTAATCCTCGAGACAGCCCTGCTGAGTCACGACCATCTCCCCACTTTGTAAATGAGGAACTTGACACCTAAAGAAGTCCAGAAGCATGGAGTGGGGTAGAGCAGGAGGCCCAGGAAGGGACAGATGAGGAGGGGACCAACTCTGCCTGCTCTGACTTTGGGAGACAGGGGAGAGGAGGGTGGGGAGGGGGTGGACAGTAGGAGGTTAGCTGGGAGGGTGGAGGGCAAGGAGTGTGACAGGATGCAGGGGAGATGGGTAATGGCAGTCTGGCCGGGGTGGTGGCAGGCCGGGAGTGGTTGTGTAGAAGGAAATGTAGGGGGGCACCCAGAGGGAAGGGGAGAGTTCCCAGGAATTAAGATCAGGTGGCAGCTGGGTGACAAACTAGATAGGGGTTGTCCTGGGTCCTAGCTGTGCTTCACCATTCCAGCTGAGCAAGTTTCTCTCCAAGCCCGGGCTTCGCCATCTGCGCTCAGTCCCACTTGTTGGGTGAGGATGTCCTGACATTTTGTTGAGAGGCCGACAGCCTGGGTTCAGGGATCCCCACTTTCTCCCCTCCTCAATCGATTGGTCTGTGGGGGCCCCGGGCTCCATCCTGCAGCTTATGGAGTCAGAGACAGCTGGACCTCTGTCTGTGTGTAGGGGAGGGGGGAGTGCCAGGAGGAGACAGGGAGAGAAGGTGTCAGAGCCTGACAGGCCCCCTGTACCCCAGGTGAAGGATGCAGGAGGCTCCATGACCATCCACACGTTCGGCGCCTACTTTGGGCTCACAGTGACCTGGATCCTCTACCGACCCAACCTACATCAGAGCAAGGAGAGGCAGAGTTCTGTGTATCACTCGGACCTCTTTGCCATGATTGGTGAGAGCTGCCCTAATGACTGAGGGCCACCATGATGACTGAGGGCTGCCACGATGGGTGAGGACCACCACGATGGGCAAGGGTGGCCATGAGGAGTTCAGGCCTCCATGATCACACCTGATCCCCACATGGTCTGGTGGGTGGCTGCCAGTTCCCATTGTGGGGAGGGCAGAGGGAGGTTGCCTATAGATACTTTTAGGATTCTTGTCCCTTTCGCCCATGGGGCTGGAAGAAGTTGGTCACTCATCCTGTGTTTTCTGTAGGATGCCCCACGGCAGACACAGTGCTAACCAGGAACTAGTCACTCCGTCCGTGGGCTAGGGCAAGGCTACTTCCTGTGTCCATTCATACCAGAGAACACATGTCACTCATCCACTTGGGTCTCTTAAAATCTAGCCCTGCCTTCAAGGAGCTCCGCACAGTGCAGTGGAAGAGATGCCAATGCCACTGGATAATCCCCCTACAGTGGAGAAAAAGACTGTCCCCATGGTGCTGTGGGCGCAGGGTGGGGGCCTGGAGCCTGGTTCTGGAGTCAGGGTGGACTTCCCAGAGCGGAGAGGAAGGCTGAGTGGGAGTTAGGTGGTCAGTAAGGCAGGCAGGACCTTCTAGGAAGAGCCCCCGGATGAAGAAAGCTACGGGGTGGAAACAGTGGGGCGTGAGTTATTGGCCATCTCTGGAGCTGAAGGACAGGAGGCCTCTGAGCTCTGCAGGGCCCATCTAACTAATGCCTCTTGTACCGGGCCCACCGGCCCTGTCTGGTCTGGCCAGGTACCCTCTTCCTGTGGATGTACTGGCCCAGCTTCAACTCAGCTGTGTCCAACCATGGAGACGCCCAGCACCGAGCTGCCATCAACACCTACTGCTCCTTGGCCGCCTGTGTGCTCACCTCGGTGGCACTGTCCAGCGCCCTGCACAAGAAGGGCAAGCTGGACATGGTGAGCAGTGGGGGGACAGTGGGGAGTCTTGGGGGGAGGTGCAGCATGACCATCTGTGCCCAGGGGGGTGATCACCATGTACTGCCAACAGCTCTGGGAGGCAGGCAGCATAAGGATTATTGCACCCATCTTGCAGATGAAGAAACTGAGGCTCAGGGAGAAATGATTTGTCCAGATTGTATAGCTGGTTTTTGGCAGAGCCCAGAACCACGTACCTGGAGGTTCTGTTATGCCAGCTGCTCTGGATGAGCTGGCTCCTCCTCCTTGCTCTCCCCCCAGAGCCTGGAGTGCTGACAGCTGTCTGGGCTGACCACCGCGTCAGACCTGCCCACCAGGGTTGCCAGGGGTACCTCCCCTCTGCCAGGCTTCTGATTCTCCAGGAACTGGCCCTCCGCCTTCTTAAAGCTGCCTCCCCTGCCCCAGCCCACACACTCAGAGGGGAATCCCTTTAATGCCTGTCTACTCCCCTTGGGAGGTTTGTGGGGGTACAGTGTTGCAGTGTCCCTCACATCACACATCGGGACAGGCGTTTCTGTCATTAGTCGGGAGGGGCAGAACCCATGGGGTGTTGGTAGATTTTTCTATAAAAAGAAGACCACCTCTCTATCTCATAGTCTGACATGAGCTTCTTGACATGGGCATGTGTGCCGAGACACTGCCGGGAGCCCCTGGAGGTGCTAGACAGTCACCGCGCAGAGAGGTGGGGACCCAGGCACGGGGGTGGGGGGGAGGGGCGGGAATCAGACACACTGACGTGGGCACACTTGCTGCGTCCAACACCCACATGCAGGGAGGGGCGGGGAATAGGGTCAGGGTCAGGGCTGTGGCTTCACACTGACCCGGATCAAGACCCCTTTCTGCCTCTTGCTAGCTGTGTGCTCTTCAACAGTCATTTAACCTCCCTGCACCTCAACCTCCTCTCATCTGCAAACACCGAAAGGTAACTGTCCTCACCTCCTGGGCTCCTTGTGGAGATGGAATGAAATAATCCCCACAAGCTGACAGCGCAGTGCCTGGCGCGGGTAGACCCTCACAGGGAGCCCACTGGCGCTGCCGCAAGCCCACCAACACTGACATGGGTGCCCACGGATGTACAGGCCCCGCAGGTGCCTGACGGCGGCATACACGCATGTAGAGAACATCAGACACACGAACCTGGGCACACAGGTATGTGTGGCACCCAGATATAAAGGGAACATGCAGACGTGCCGACAGGGCTCACCGGCATGGACACAAGTACACTGATTTGTGCACACGGAAAATGCCCAGACTACGGGCGTGGGTGCACATGTGCAGAGAACACAGGGGCGGCTGTCCCAAGCCTGGGCTGGGCTGGGGCCCTCTGCAGTCTCCTGGCTCGCTGAGGTGCACTCTGAGCCATCCCTGACGCCTGGAGCCAAGCGGCAGCCATGCCCATCAGGTCAGTGCAGGCTCCGTGTCAGCTCCTCCAAGCCGTTGCTCTGGGAGAGGACTGAGTTCCTGCTTTCTCTGCCTGCTCTACCCAGGTGCACATCCAGAACGCCACGCTCGCCGGAGGGGTGGCCGTGGGTACTGCCGCCGAGATGATGCTCATGCCTTACGGCTCCCTCATTGTCGGCTTCATCTGTGGCATCATCTCCACCCTGGGTTTTGTGTACCTGACGGTGAGGGCCCCAGGCGAGGGGCTGAGGGCTGGAGAGTGCTGGGGTCTCTGTGTTCCTGACAGCGGGGGTCCCTAGGGAGGGGGCTAGGGCTGGAAAATCCCAGGTCTCTGTGTATTTGGGGCCTCCAGAATCCTGGCCTCTCCATGCTCCTGCCACAGTCCCTGGGCTGAACAGCACCCATCTCCCCTCTCCAGCCATTCCTGGAGTCCCGGCTGCGGATCCAGGACACATGTGGCATTCACAACCTGCATGGCATTCCCGGCATCATAGGCGGCATCGTGGGTGCTGTGACGGCAGCCTGTGCCAACAGTGCCGTGTACGGCAAGGAAGGGTAAGTATCGGGGGGGGGTGCAGGCTGAGCTCCCTCCTCCATTCTCCATTCCTCCTTCCTGCTGTCCCTCTGGGGTCCAGGGTTATGTCTCCTCCCCTTCCTTCCCCTATCTGGACCACTGTTTCATGGACATCTCTCCCCACCCTCTGTCCTTCTACAAGAGTCGTAGAGACTATTTGATCTGTGTGGGGCCCCATTTTGCAGATGGGAAGTCTGAGGCCCAGGATTTATTGAGCCTCGGTGCCCACTCACGTTTGTGGGGTTGCAGCAAATGGTTAATTGGCCTCTCTCTGGGGTCCTGACCTGCCCCCTGTCTCCACCCCAGGCTTGTCCACGCCTTTGGTTTCAAGGGTAGCTGGACCTCAAGCACGCAGGGCAAGTTCCAGGCTGCCGGCATCTTCATTTCTCTGGCCATGGCCCTGGTGGGCGGCAGCATCGTGGGTGAGTGGAAGTGGCTGGGCCAGAGAAAGGGGGGCCACTGTGGGGTTCTGTGGTGGGGACACACCGAGGTCAGCCTGGAGCTATCAGGAGTCCTCCGTCTCTGCACTTGTGACTGTGAGACTGGGGGGATTGTCCCAGCTGAGGGAAAGGGCTGGGTAGGCAGAGAGGAAGTAGTTCCTGACCTCTCGTGACCTCCAACTTTCTTTAGGAATGATTTTGAAATTACCGTTCTGGGGACAACCCTCTGACGAGAACTGCTTTGAGGATGCAGTCTACTGGGAGGTGAGTTCTCCGGACTTGTCCCCCAACACAAGGGCAGCTGCAGCCCCTCTACCCAGACCCTGCCCACATGAGCTGGGGCCTGGGAGCCAGAAGCTGAGCGCTAAGGACTGAGCCTGCATCATCCTGCTCCTTTATCTAGGGGGCTGTGCCTCGTGGGGGTTGAAGGCTTTATTCTAGAGCAGTGATTCCCCAAGTATGGTCCCCTGTGCTCCCAACAGCATCAGCATCACCTGGCAACTTGTTAGACATACAAATTTTCGAGTTCCACCCAGACCCCTGGAATCCAAAACTCAGGGGGTAGGGCCCTGCACTCTGTGTTTTAACAAGCCCCCGCCATGTGATCCTCACGTCCGTGAACCACTGCCCTGACCAGTGGTTTTCGGCCCTTACATAAAATTGGAATTACCTGGGGGGGGCTTCAAAAGCGTTCCAAGTCCAGGCGCCGCCCCCAGAGACCTGGAGGTAATTGGTCTGTGGTATAGGGCCTGGACGTTAGAGTTTTATTTAAAGCTTCCCAGGTGAAGCTAATATACAGCCTGGGTTAAGAATCACAGTGTAGTGCTCTGCTTCAGTCGCCATGAGAGCCGCCTGGAGACCTTGTAAAAATGCAGCTTCCCAGGCGCCAGTTCAGAAATTCTAATTCAGTAGGGCCCAGGGCTCTGCATGGGAACAAGCTCCCAGGTGATTCTGGTATAGAAACTGAGTTCTGTGATATTCCACTACTTTCAGCATCTAGAGAAGTATCAGTACAAAAATCCAACTTGAGAAACATTGTTCTAGAAGCTTTCTGTGACTTCAGGCAGGCCTTCCTCCCCACGAATCATTATTGGAGGTGTTTATCTGTGTTAGATGATGGAGGATGCAGAGGGTCCCTCATCCCCCCTCATGACAAGGGCGAGGCCCTAGCCTGTATCTGTGGCCCCTGAGACAAGGGTCTGCCCATTATTGCCTTTCATTCGGCTCTGTTTTTAAAACCATACCAGAAGTTTCCAGGGTAATTTTAACTAATATCCACTATAAACCAATTTCATGTACATAACTAATAAGCCTTTTAAATTCACTCTCTTTAAATTTTTTAATTATAAAATGAATAGAAGCTCATTAAAGAAAATTTGGAAATAGAGAAAAATGGAAAGAAATTCCATCACCCTAATTCAAGCACTGTTAATATTTTTGGTATATTTCCTTTTAGTCTTTGCTTTTTAAATCTGCATAGATTTTTCTTACACAGCTGAGGTGACGTTATACACCTAATCTGGGGTCCTGCTCTTTCTCTCTCTAACATAAGAAGTGTTCTGTGTTATTATATTCCTAATAAACTTTCTTGCTTAGCAGCATAATTATTTTCATTTATATTTCAAGTCAGAACTTAAACTATTTTAGACACCACAGTTAGGAACCACATGGATTCAATGCTAATGAAATAAACTGAAAAATGTTATCAATTCCCATATGTAGGAGTTCACTCCGGGTTCTGTTTTGATCTTTATAATTTATTCTAAGCTCACACCTTCTCTCTGCTGTATACCCTTCAGCAGTACTCGACTTCAAGTAATGTAATTCTACACCTATGAAAGTGAGCCACCATCAGGCCGTCCCCGTGGCCCCCAGCCTCTGGGTGGTTTATCTGGGAGATGAGTTGGCTTCCCAGAGGATGGGGGTGAGATGTTCCCCAGGACCACAGATGAGGACCACAGATGATCTCTGGGATCGAATCTAAGCCTTGAGGCCAAGGCAGGGCTCGTCCACCCCACCCCCACTCCACCTGCTGATCCACTTCCTGCCTCCCCTGCACCTCCCCCTACCTCAATTTTGGACCTGCCTGCAGTTCAGGGAGCTTGTCATGCTGCCTCTCACCTGGCACACTACTGCTCATCTTTCAAAAGTTGGTTCAGCACAGGGCCGGCCCTGTGGCTTGGTGGTTAAGTGCGCGCGCTGTGATGCTGGAGGCCCGGGTTCTGATCCCGGGCGGGCATCGAGGCACCACTTCTCCGTCCATCCTGAGGCCGAGTCCCACATACAGCAACTAGAAGGATGTGCAGCTATGACATACAACTATCTACTGGGGCTTTGGGGGGAAAAAAAAAAAAAAAAAAAAAAAAAGTTGGTTCAGCACAACCAGAGTCCCCTCGGCTGGGTCATCAGCCTCTTGTGTGCATTTACAACTCTTATTGTCACCGTGCCTTGCACTTGAATGCCTTCCCAGCGTGGGGCAAGGACTCTGTCTCATCCTGGCGGTGCCCAGCACCCTGGACACTGGCTAACCTGAAGGAGGGAATGATACATGTGGACTGCCCTGCTCCGCGGCATGCCATCTGCACAGTGATCACGAGGTGGCGCCCACCACACACCATTGGCTGCTCCTGACTTGCCCAGGTTGTTCTAGTTCCACCGGAGACACCGGCCCGGACTGGGGCAGGACCCTCAAAGCTGCCTTCTCTCTGTGCAGGTGCCCGAGGACCAGAAGAACACTGCTTCCCGTCCTGAGGACCCCACCCTCAATCCCTTAGAACCTTAAGCTCCCAGGGCAGGTGAGAAGCAGGTAAGCGTGGGCTTGGCTTGTCAGTGGGGGATGAGGGGCAGGTTCTCCCAGTGGGGGCCCAGCTCGGAGAATCAGATGCCACCAGCAAAGGGGCAAAAAGAAAGCATCAAGAAATGAGAATGTGAGCCTCCACACCTCCTGCCTGGAGTGGAGTGGGCACACTGGGGCTGGTGGGAGAGGCACGCAGAGTCAGACTACGTGCGTACTGACAGACAGAAGAATATGCGGCAGGCGCTGTGGACTGGGAGAACATATGGAAGGTGACCTGGGTGTGCACTTGGCTTTGGTGCCTTGCTTACTGGCTGAGGGCCTTTGAGGATCTCTTCACCCCAGAGACTGAGCCTCAGTTTCCTCATATATAAAAGTGGAGATGACAGGTCTGGCACTACGCAATTCATCAACTCAGGCGAGATCCTCCCTTCCTTCCTCCTTCCCTCCCTCTCTCCCTTCCTTCTCTCCTATCCTCTCTTCCTTCTCTCCTCCCTCCTTCCCTTCTCTCCTTCCATTCTTCCTTCTTTCCTTCTCTCCCTCCTTCCTTCCTTCTCTCCCTCCTTCCTTCTCTCCCTCCTTCCTTCTCTCCCTTCTTCCTCCCTTCTCTCCTTCCTCCCTTCTCTCCTTCCTCCCTTCTCTCCTCCCTCCCTTCTCTCCTCCCTCCCTTCTCTCCCCCCTCCCTCCCTTCTCTCCCCCCTCCCTCCCTTCTCTCCCCCCTCCCTCCCTTCTCTC